TTCTTGGCGTCGCTCTTCCTTCGCAAATCCATGTCGCATTCGCTGGAGAAGTGGAAGTCACAAATTGCTCAGCTAAGAAGGCGTCAATCGAGTCGATTTCTGAGATCCGGCTGGGCATGACAATATCATGGTCGACAAAGTTGAAAACTGCGACGTCAATTGTGCGCTTTGGATTAACAAAGAATGACCTGTTAACGATGCAGCAGAGCGAAGAACCGTGTGAGCAGTACAAATTTTGCTCATACACCTCACCGTGGCTGCATCATGTGACTATTCCAGGTGATAAGCTGAAGCCAAACACTCTTTACTTTTGTACGTCATCTTGATAACTATCTATTCAATATTGACTGTAAATAATTAATCATGTGCAACTCTGCAGACCAATGCGGCGATGAAGCTGGTGGGTGGAGTGATATATACACTTTCACGGCGGCTGTAACTGTAGGAAGCGAGACTCCCCAGTTGTTTGGCGTTATTGGCGATCTCGGGTGAGCAAAGATGACGACTTTCTTATGCGTACACGAGGCTAACGACGCTTTTTCTTTTCTCAGTCAGACCGAGTACTCACAGCAGACCATTCGCCACCTGTCTGGCTATCATTCGAACATCAGTGCTATCATCTGTGCTGGTGATCTTTCATATGCAGACAGTGATCAGAATCGATGGGATCGATGGGGAAATCTTATGGAGCCATTGATTGCTCGCATACCGTGGATGATTGCTGCGGGTAATCATGAGGAGGAGCTCCCGTGCCAAGCGAGTGTGAGCGAATTTGTGGCCTATCAGACTCGATTTCGCATGCCGTTTAGCCAAATGGATCAGCTTCAGCGTCACAATATGTACTACGGATTTCGGGTCGGTCTTGTGCACTTAATAGTCCTGACGCCGTATGTCGACTCAACTCCCACGTCACTACAGTACAAATGGGTACAGAAAGAACTTTCACGTGTTGATCGTAGCGTCACTCCATGGTTAATTGTAATCATGCATGGACCATGGTATAACAGCAACACTGCGCACCAGGGCATTGAGCCGCACACAATCATGAAGAAGCACATGGAGGACATTCTGTACCATCATAAAGTGGACGTAGTGGTGGCAGGACACGTTCATGCCTATGAACGCAGTCACTCGGTATATAAGGAAAATGTTGTTCAGGACGGACCAATCTACATTGTGCTGGGCGATGCAGGTAACCGTGAAGGTCTAGCACCAATGTATTTTGACCCGCAGCCGAAATGGTCAGCTTTCCGCCAAGCCAATTATGGATTTTTGCTATTAAATGTGGCGAACCGCACGCACGCACACATGCAGTGGTTTGAGGACCGGGCAGAGGGTGAAGCTTTCTTACGCGACAGTGTAGTTTTAACTTCGTCTAAGTATCGGTCTAGTTAAGGCAAGGAGGTTGAAGTGAGGTCAATATTTTTGAGAGAACTAGTTTGTCTTAATTTCGTCCAATGCTGAAGCAGCAACTCAATTCGCGATCTATCCCTCACAAGTAAACATGACGGCGAAAGTGAGCGTCAAGTGGGGCAAACAAATATTCGAGCATGTTTTAGTTGATAAGTCGGCACCTGTGGCTGTGTTCAAGGAACAGCTTTACGCGCTTACGTCCGTTCCTGTAGATCGCCAGAAGCTCATGTCTAAGGCCTGGAAAGGAATGCTCAAGGACGACACGGATCTTTCGAAGCTCGATAAATTTGTTGACGGTGCGGGCGTGATGCTTATGGGATCAGCTGAGGTGGTAAAGAAGCCTAAAGAGCCCACTGTCTTTATTGAGGACATGACGACAAACGATATTGCGGCTTCGGGCACTGTCTATCCAGCGGGTCTCGTAAATTTAGGCAACACATGCTACATGAACGCTACGCTACAGTGTTTGCGGCCTGTTAAGGAATTACGTGAGGCGCTTACGACTCACCCTGGCGGTGTCTCGGCGGATTTGGCGAATAACTTTACCACTGCACTTAAGGACATGTATGGCCAGTTGGACAGCAGCTTGGATAGCATCACTCCATCAATGTTTGTGTCGGTACTGCGTCGCGCATATCCACAATTTGCACAGCAGTCGCCGCGCAGTGGTGGATATATGCAACAAGACAGTGAAGAATTTTTATCCACGCTTTTTGCGACGCTGCAGCAGACCTTAACGCAACCCACGGGCGGTCTGAAATCTTTGGGACCAACAAGTAACATGGTTGAGGCGCTCTTTGGATTAGAAATGATTGAAGAACTCAAATGCATGGAAAGTGACATGGAAGCAGTCGTAGTGAAAAGAGAGAAAGCACTTAAGCTTGTATGCAACATCACTATCGAGACTAATCACTTGTCTGATGGCATTAAAATTGTAAGAGGCTGAAACCGGTGAATAAATTACTTTAAAATGCTGATATATTGCTGGATGCGTAGGGGCTGGAAGGTGCGATTGAGAAACACTCGGATGTATTAAAAAAAAATGCTGTGTGGAAGAAGACGCTACGAATAAATCGCCTACCAAAGTATTTGTGCGTGCAATTCATGCGATTCTATTGGAAAGCAACACCTGAAAGCCGTGATCATACTGGTGTGAAATGCAAAATGTTGCGAGTAAGGTTTGGTGATGATGATTTGATTTTTTGTGTTCTGACTTTTGGTTCGTGTTATCAGCCCATTAGCTTCCCGATGATCTTAGACGTATACGACTATTGCACTGATGAGTTACAGGCTACGATGAAAATTTTTCGTGACAGAAACGCTGAAAAGATATTAAACGAGTTTAAAGACGTAAGTTCGTTCATACGGGGTCTTATTGAAAGTTTTTCTCTCCTTGACGCATGCGTGATGCGCTCAATAGAAGTCTGCGGCAGAAGAAAAGAACGAGAATAATGAAGATGATACGATGGACGGTATGTCTGAGGAGGAGAAAGCTGCTCTGGATACTGCTCGCGCGCTTTCCATGGGAGCTGAACCTCCTGGCGTTGATCTCCCCCTTGACTTTCAGGTATGTTAATCGACTTTGCGGAGCTATTAGCTATATGTTTCTTAATAGCCATGTTGTGTTTGAAGGGAAACTATGAACTGTACGCGATTTTGACGCACAAAGGGCGATCGGCTGACTCGGGTCATTACATGGCTTGGGTGCGCCACGAAGGAGGTAACCACAAATTCTCGTAAGGTGAAGTTTTCGCAGCGTAGCTAATAATTACGTGCTTTATATAATTAACCTGTAGACGACTGGTATTGCTACGATGATGACGATGTGTCGCCGTGTAAGACGGAGGATATCATTAAGCTTAAGGGAGGTGGTGACTGGCACATGGCGTACCTTGCTTTCTATCGTGCTACGAACTAGGATCCAAAGGTATCGTTATGACTAAGCGCACATTGCGAGACAAAGTAGACGAGATTTTATGTAGAAATGCCGACAACCAAGATGCTTTCTCAATCGATAGCATGTATTAAAAATTGATAAAAAAAATCTTTTTACATTCAAGAGCAAAGCGAGGATAGAAATAACAAGAAAACCCGCACAATTTCACCCGTGCCTGTGTGATGTATCTACGGCTGGCGATGCCGAGAGCTCAATCATTCGTGTTGTCGAAATCCTTGAAGGCTTTACATGTGAATACCCTCTGATCGCTGACCGGAAAATGGGGACAAACTGGCCACTTTCCGAGGCTCGATATCGCTGTTGACCGAATCTGACAGATAATCTTCATCCTCAGCTTCGAAAGTGTAATCTGCAATCTTGTCAGTAAGCGCTAGAGCATCAAGACGGGGAGAAGAGACACGTGACGAGGACTCCGAAGCTGTTGAGCTACTACCACCAGTCGATTTGCGTCGAATTTCCATAGGAGACTGTGGGGGCGTCATGCAAGGCGAATCATTTGCCGGGACAGGGGAGTCAAGGAGGTCTCCATTGGCACTCGTGGGCGACATTTCCGATTCCGTGTCTTCATCATTTGGTTCTTCTTTTGTCGCAAAAGGAGATCGTTGGTCTTTGTCAGTGGCCACCCAGATACGAATTGTTTCTCTGCGACGCTGTACGCCAGGTAATGACATGTTTTCGGCATCCTACAAAAGAAACCAATTAGATTTTCGCAATCGCTTGATAAATAAATTTATAAACTTACAGGGCAGAACCATTCCATGCAAACTTCGAGATCTGTGCGGTCAGCCAGCGCTGGTGTAAGCAATTGCACCAGCGTGCCGCGGGTCTCTGTGTCAAGATTTGGGATTTCAATGCCACGCACCTCAAGTGTGCTAATAGGTTGGCCTAGAACTACCGCCGTGATCCATTTCGCCAAAAAATTAAACTTGTCTACCTGTCCGCGGCACACCGTTTTAAGCAGCACCGTATATACCTCTTCAGGTACCTTGTTCTTAGACGCTTCCATAACCTCAAGCAATGCAAAGTCCTCACGCACATCCACCAACAGCCTGGAGTCTTCGAAGCCGTGAATTCCCAGTTGATAACAGCCCTCGCACAAGTGGTAGTTGCTGCACTTGGAGCACGAATACATATTCCCCACAATGGGATCCATGCCACAGCCGTCACAAAAGGAGTCTTCGTTTACGTGGGAGGGAGGGAACTTCATCTGCGCTACCTTCTGACCGATAAATCGCGTAGCAGCAGAGACTCTGCTGCCAAGGCCGACCGGTCGCACCTCTGTGGGAATCCCAATGATCGACGATGTGCTATCCCGTTCCATACTGAGAGGCTCAGACATAAGCCAAAAACGTTTGGCGTTCTTTTGAATCTTACGCTCGCCATGGATCACGCGCTGACGTTCAACATCAAAAACAGTTTGCTGCGGCCCAAAGAAAAGGTGCTGGTCGACATGTTTGGCCTCCTCTATGAGTTGGGCATTAAGGTTATTAGTGCTCACCACGGAGGGGCGCACAGCCGATGCATTGTCGCTGCCATCAGATGGATAGCTGCGTCGGAGGGCATTAGAAAGCAAAAAGAGCGACATCGAAGTAGAGATGGTTACGAGTCGTCGCACGCCGCGGCGAATGGCTTTATGACATCGCGTGAATGGGGGAGCGCATCTCAAGATGATTTATGCCCTGAATACTACGAAACATGATACACATTTTTTATATCCTTTCTAATGCATTGACTGTTCTTCATACAAGCATTGGGCGTAAGAATTTGAAACGCTACAATGCTGTTTAAACCGATAGAACTATACTTTGACATAAATAATAATATAACGGATTGCAGGCTGTTCTCATCGTTTCTCGTTTTGGAGTTTCACATCTGGTATAAGAAGGGTACAGTAGAGGAGAGTCAGCGATTTGACTAGAAGAAACTAATTACTGGTAGGCGCACAATATTTCTTTTCGTTCTTCAGGATGTTGAAAAGCAAAGCTTGTTGGTCAGTTTATTACTGCGCAATGCATAGTGATAATTTGCAAGCAAGCTCTTACGCAATTTGAGTCCAGGATGACGATACGCTTGCGACCGAACGCTTAGATAAGAAATTCTTTCAGAGAGTTTTCGTATTTCTACCTTGCGCAAGCACAAACGTTAAGCGTTTTGCGCCGAGCGGCGAAGTTTACCTGGGGTGGAGAGAAATGAAGGGACTACTACAGCGCAAATCAAAAAGGATGCCTATCGAAATTTAATTTAAATCTCCAATTGTTTATTTAAGGTAGGAGTTTCGCCTCATTGTAACGAGTAGACACGTTTTGGTGTGCCCGCAACTTTAGCTCCTGAGAAATGCCATGCGTGCTTCTTTCGATAGTTCTGCACAAAGTCTCCGATATTCAGTCGCAATTGCTTCCATCAAAAAAACTCAATTACTAGTCCGTTACACTCACCCAGCCACAGCGCCTGTCTTAAAATTTAAAGGGACGCTTGTGCTGTTCGACATCGCTTCACTTATACAGTATTTATCCGTCACGATGCCGCTCGAAGTACGGTACTATAAAGGTGAGTAGCAACGACCCAAACTGGAAGAAGCCACCTCACGTTAGTCGATAGGACAAAAGCTTACGAAAAATTACCTACCTGCATCCAGCCAATAGTACGAAAATCACCAATGGCAGCAATTGGCGTTTGTAAAAGGCCTATGATGCCACCGACGCCAAATGCGATACCAGATAATGCCCCGTAGTGCTGAAACCCAAAGCGATATCCTAAATACGAGAACAGCAGCGGGTACATGAAGGTTCGGAAGAATGCGTACGTCACAAAGCCAGCCACAATCCATCCAGTCGACATGCTACTTAACAATATCGTGGTGCACAAAGCAGCCAACGTGCAGAGTAGCAACGAGTATTGGTGGCCACACTTTTCCAACAGGTATCCTACAAACGGGATGAAAATCACACTTCCCGGAAGCACAAACGCCAGCTTTCCCAATAGATCATTCACTTCACCGTCTAAAAGCCCTTTCCACCGCAGTAATCCATTGATGCTGCCCAAAAAGAAGTTGCACCAGAGCGACAAAATCGAAAAATAAAATGCGATGAGCAAGAATGGTTTTGATAACACTTGCGTCCGAAAGGAGCGGTTGTGGAGGTCGCCGTCAGTAAAAATCTTGTCGTTTTGTTGATGATTCTTCTGCAGCTCGGGTGTAGACAGCAAAAGGGAGGTCTCTTCGTCTTTGAACACCGACGGCAGACCCATAGGCGAAAGAACTATATGCGTATTACAAGAAACGACCTCAAGTGGCGTGTCCGGCTCCGTAAGTAATGTACCCACTAGCGACAGCAGCAGCACAGTTGCATAAATTTCGAATATTGTCGCCATAGACATCCCGAGGTGCATGTACGCGAAACTTATTAGCGCGAAGATCAGAAAGCTCAACTGAAGACCTCCGACAATCAAGCACGCAACAAGCGCTGTCGACTCTGGGAACAAATTGGACATGTGAATTCCAGAGAGCTGAATACCTGGACCGGAGAAGCCCACGAGCACCATGCCGTACAGCAGCAAGTCATTGTCTTTGGCGTTATCACTGTACATGATGAGGATATGACAGTCATATCGTTTGACGAAAGTACGATGGAATGGATTTTACCGATAGTGAGCATTTCCCATCAACAACGCGCCTGCAATCAAGAAAACTAACGATATCGACTTTGTCACACGGGGTCCAAACCTATTTAAGTAAATATGTGAGCGGCAGCGATAACGCGGGAATTTAACAACGTTCAAATTACTTGTCAAGTACGAGGCCGAGCAGAAGATTGGACCACATGCTGCTAAAGACTGCCATTGTAAACGCATACTGAAGGCGATTGCTTTGTGCGGTACAAACTGTCAGCCCATTCGAATATTTAATAGACAAGTTTTGCCTCGTAACATATCACATAACAGCAGCACACACTTGTCTCTTCATAAATACACAGCTCAAAGTATATTTTTTCTTTTTCTAGCATGGGAAGCAGCGACGTCCTGTTCATAAAAAATGTCAGCAACAGGTGCGAGCCCTCACATTGCAGCATCTACCATCCAAATATAACACCGGCACCCAGGAAACATTGAAACACAGCGAACGCAACGTAAAAGTAGCGGTTCGTTTGTCTGCTCTTGTCCTCGGCCGCCATTATCATCTTTTTTCTGCACTATATCGGTATCTGGGTTAGATTGTCTCTACTCATGGTTACAGCGTGCCACTGGTTTAAATCACAGTATACATTTCCAGAAAAAATATATATGACGCCGACCAAGATGAACGAGTCTCGCGCCACGACACTCATTGCATTACTGAATCGACTGAATGATGCACACAAAGATGACATAGTCCTCGAGTCGAAGAATTCGCTTACCATTCACATATTGGGAGCCGACCATCGTGAGGGCAACACTGGTGCCGAGACATTCACGGTCTTTCGTAGCTTTACACGACATGTGGCCAATCATACGCATATCTCATCGCTTTCCTTCGTGCTGGTGGGACCCAACTTGGCCAGAAAGCTTCACCTTACTCGGTTTATACAAAAATATTGTGATCCAGATATGATTAACACGTGCGATGTGGTGATCAGCTACTTTGTAGACAGCTTTGAAACCTACTTCGAGGACAAAACGATGTACTGTAAGCCCGATCTTGTTGTGTGCTTTAATGCTGGAATTTGGGGCTATGACGAGTGGTTGCCAACAATCAAAATCGTGCTAAACGAGCTATGCGTACCCTTGCTAATTACATCGTATAACGAGCACGAAGCCGGAGATGATGAGGATACTTTGGATGAACTGATGCCAGCCAAGTGGCTTTGGCGACCGGAGCAAAATCAGCACGGGGACACGACACTTCGTGCTACGAGCAACGAGCATGGGTGGATTCTTAGAGAAAATGAATATTGGATGTGTTTATCTGGCAGGTCAATGTAGACATCAAACGATGCACCTTGTATACTATAATTGCTTTAATGCTACGTCATGTTGTAGCCAGAACCAAGCTTTCTGTTTTAGCTTGCAAGCAGAAACTTTATTGGGACTCCACACGGGACATTGCCCACCAAGCGACGCAGGCGTAACTCGCCTTGCAACTCATCTACCTGAGGAAGAAACGACTTGTGTTCGTCAGCCACTTCCTCCCACGTTTTTGACGGAAGCACAAGGGTACAGAAAGTGCCAGACGCATGACGCATTCGAATATTCTTCACCAATTCCTCGCACGTCTTGCCGCCTCCATGAGCTGTGGACTCGCGCTTAGCATCGAAAGAAAGAACAGTTGCATCTTGAAATGTGTACTGCGTTTCACTTTGACCTTGAACTCCTGGTGCTGAATGTGAGAGTGATCGTGGTATTGGAATGTGCAAGAACTGCTTTTTTTTGTTGCTGGTTATTACTTCCGAATATAAAACGCCAATATTGAACGGATCTGGTGAAGCGAAAGTGAGAGAAGACACATGAGGTACAGCTTTATAAGGTACGTTTTCTATATTACGGAAAGGAGGGCAATCCAAACACAGTAACTGGCAGTCATTGGGCACCGATGGATCATTGCGTAGCGAAGTCCGCACATTGGCTGGGTCTGAAATTTGAAAGGCATCAAAGAGATCTTCCAACGTCCTGAGAAATTTTACTTTTATCAGACTCATGGACATTTTGGCTTCTGCTGCTAACCGATGAGCCTTCGCAACTTTGCAATCAAAAGCAGGCTGTGCATCTTTCGCATGTTTCTGCTTCTTGTACGCGTCTTCCTGATCCGAGTCCGAGTCGCTATTATCTACTGCTGATGTCATAGGATTCTTTTTCACTAACGTAGGAAAACAGGCGCGAATCGATTGTAGGAAATTTGCAGCCACTTCACCGACATCCATCAATTGTACACTTGGTGTATGAGTCGAAAGAAATTTAGTAAGCGGAATTACCAGTAAACGGCGCTTTCCATCCCTCTTGATACGTCCACCAATGCCTGTGAGTTGGCGTGAACTCTTCATGCGGCCAGCCACCACCAGGTACTCATCAAAAGGCAATTCTTTTTTCGTCGCTATGTCCATGAGGGCCAGAACGCCATCATCAACGGCTTCGAATACGAACATACAAAGACTAATTACTATGTCACTTTGTCCAGAGATCGCTACCTGCAAACTAATTGGCCATTTATTACAGCTGTACTAAAACTTGAAGCGAGATTATTACATGCCTAGTTTAGGCATTAAATTGCAAAAAGTTTGTTGAATGCTTGGACAAATCTTTTATTTTCGCTTTTCGCTTTTAGCTTGTTTAAAGTTTGGGCAGTTTTGCGAGATTTAAATCAATTATTAGCTACAAATGGCCCATTCAACCTCACATGTGCGGCACCACGAACACCATGGTAACCGATTCGAGTCGAGAACTCCCGCTATATCAATCTGTACATGAATTTGTAATTGTCTGTACCACACATGCCATCTTCAATATACCATCGCAAGGTGCTGGGTAATAATGGAGCGGGTAATTTTGAAGAACACCCCAACCTGAGATTTATTTGATAGTTGGCAGCTCGCGAATGTAAGTGATTTGGTTTTGTTCGGGAGAGGATCGGTCAATCTACAGAGATTTGCTAGATGTCATCGCCTGCTTTAAATGGTGGTTTCGGCAATTGGTTTGTTCCTTTAATGATTGGTGCTCCTGATTTGGCATTTCCTCGTATGAATAATATAAGTTTTTGGTTATTGCCTCCAGCATTATTATTATTAGTTTCATCAGCTATTGTTGAATCAGGTGATGGACGGTTTATCCTCCAATATCAAGTGTACGTGCACATTCAGGACCTTCAGTAGATTCAGCAGTTTTTAGTTTACATTTAACAAGTATTTCATTTTTATTAGGTGCGATTAATTTTATATCAACAATTTATAATGTGAGAGCAGTAGGTTTAATATAGGGAGAAAAC